CCGGGGCTGGGCGGAGGGGCCCCAGCGCGGGCAGGCAGGGCCGGACCCTCATCCTGAGTGGCTGCGGAGAAAGAGGGGGCAAATGGAGAGCGAGGCCCCTCCTCCTTTGCCCGCCGCTCCCTGGCCCGGTGGCTCCCGGGCATCAGCACCGCCCCCCGCCCCCCTCCCTTCAGCAGCATCTTCCAGCAACTCCCAAGCTTTGGGGGCACGGGGGCTTCTCTGTTCCTTCCAACTTGTAGAGGAAGCCTCCCAGTGCTTGTGCCCCCCACCCTAAGCGGGAGTCCCACTTCTCCAACCTATAACCCTAAAGCGCCTAATATGGGTGGCAATTTGGGGGTCCTGGGAGGGGCCTGGGCAGAGTGGTAGGCCACTAGCTTTCCTGGCTGCTATCAGGACCCTTCTGCCCTCGTTCTTTAGCTTCCCCAGTAAACCCGGGGGAGGGAGGTAAAAATAAAACGGGGGACGGGATCCAGGTGGGCAAATGGTTTGTCGGGGGAAAGGATGGGGATGGGGGAAGCTCTGTAGGGGAAAGATGAGGTTGGGGATGGGCAGATGGACGAAAGGGAGGGGGCAGGTTACTCACCATGTGAGCTGGGGCTCAGGCTGCCTCCCAGGCACAGCATCCATGGCAGGATACCTCCACTCCCACCTCACCCGGACAAGCCAAGCCCCCTCCTCTTCCGGAGAGACTGCTCCAACCCAGAGAAGGAAAGTGGAAGAGCTGTGGGAGAGTCCCCTCTCTCCCCAGCTGGAAGAGCAGGCTAGTGGGGTGGGGACTGAGGTAGTGGCAGGGGTGGGGGGAGATTAGAATAGTGTAAGGGGGAAAAAATCCTGCCTTGGATGGAGATAGAGAAGAGGAGCTGGGAGCTGGATGAGAAGGGGGAGGGGGCTATCAAGAGGAGGTGTTTTTATTATTTTTTTCTTCTTATGGTTGGGAGAGGAAAAAAAAATCAAAATTCCGATTCCATCCCAGCACAAATCAATGTTTGCTCCATCCCAGCATCACGGGGGAGGCTGGGCCAGGCAGATTTAAAGGGGCAGAGAGAAGAGAGAGGAGAGGGTGGGGAGAGGAGGGGACAGATAAGAAGAATAAGTGGTGAAGATGGGGGTGGTGGTGGGGATGCCCGAGCGGAAAAGGATGGGTACCCGCTAACTCTGCGGTGAGGGAGGAGGCAGGTGGAGAGAAATGAGAGGTACAGAGACCCCCAGGGTGGAAAGAAACCCCAGCCTGCAGGCGGGGAGTGGGGTGAGGCGAAGGGGAGGGGAGAGGAGCTAGGGGGAGGAGACTGAGCTGAAGATGGGGAGGCAGGGGGAGGCCGGAGCCAGGCGGGGGAGGAGAGATGCTCGCGAGGCCGAGAGAGGGCGTGAGGAATACAAAGAAAGAGGCGCAGGGGTGAGAGCTAAGGAGGTGGGGAGATGTAGCTGGTGAGGGAGGAAGCGGGGGACACCCATTCTGGGGCTGGTGAGGTATAGCAAGGAGGGGAGAAACAGGGGAGGAGAAAAAAAGGGGAAATTCAGAAACAGATATAGAGATCGAGAGTGAAATAAGGGTTGTGATGGGAGGGAGAAAGCTCTGCAGAGAGAAGGGCTGGCGTGGGTATAGAAATCCAGGCAGGAAGAACCCAAATTGAGGCAAGAGAGCCGGAAGTGGTGTTTGTGGAGGCCATGGGGAGAGAGATGAACCTGCCAGCTGCTTGAACTGTAGCCAGGAAGCATTTGGGCATGGATGCTTGTGTGTCATTGAATCCTCTGTCCTCCCTGGGAAAGTGCAGAGGGGGACCAGGAGGCTCACCCACTGGCACTTTCTGAGGAAGCTCGAAATTGGTCCCTGCCAGGAAGCCTGGTTCCACTAATGCTTTTCCAGGACTCGCTCTCCACCTCACTTTTTCTGCCTGGATCGACCCTCTGAAGGGGCTGGGAGGATGTCAGGCCTGGTGAGGCCATGAAGATGTGGGACTTTGGAGTCTTGTCTTGCAAACCTACAAGCAAAGACACATAGGTAGGGCTGGGATATAGCTCAATGGTAGAACATTTGTCTAGCATGCATGAGGCCCTGGGTTTGATCCCCAGTACTGCAAAGCAACAAAGACACAAACCAAAAATACATAGGCTCTCCCCAACTTGCCACCCCTCTGTCCTTGTCCACTAGCCAGAGGTACAGCACCTGTGGGCCTTAACTTCTTACAGACATAAGAAGGCACATTACTTCTTCCCTCCCTCCTCAGCTTACAACATCTAGTTGTACCTTGCCTCTAAGCATCTGGGAAGGAGGACACTGTCCACTTACACACTAAAAGAGTCAATAGTCAAATGCATTTGATTGCTTTTATTTTCATACGAGATACCTGTTTTGAGCCTCTGCCCTAATTAAGGTCAGAAGGGGAAGTCACAGGGCCTGGGGCTGTAGCTCAGTGGTAAAGCACTTGCCTTGCGTGTGTGAGGCACTGGGTTCAATCCTTAGCACCCCATAAAATAAAGATACTGTGTGTTCATCTACAACTAAATAGATATTTTTAAAAAAGTAGAGGAAGTCACTCGTGAGAGGTCATACATTAGAGATGCAAGAGCTAGGGGATTAGAACACAAGATTTTGGACTTTTTTTTCCCTCTTTTTGGTGCTGGGGATCAAACCCAGAGCCTTGAGAATGCTAAACACATATTCTACCACTAACCTATACCCACCCACAGAGGACTTCAGACCTTCTGACCCCTGTAATTCCTCCCATGGTTTCATGTGTTTGGAAAACTTCCTTTGGACTCAAAGATTCCATTTTGAGTACTTTTGTGGGAAAAAACAAACATGAAGTTTGAAATAAACAGAAATTTCCCTTTTATTGTGTTTTTTTTTTCTAAAAGTTTACATGAGGAGAAATCTGTAAATTTTAAGCCTCTAGGAAAGGGACCATATATTTTAAGTGCTAGTACAGAACAAGACAGCTATGGGTCCACTTGGGACATGTCTGTTGTTGGAGAGTTCATTCATGCATTCATTTCTCTGTTCATCAAATGTGTACATAGTTTACTGTGTACCAGGTATGTTGCCAGGAGCTAGAGACCTAGTGATGAACACCCAGTGCCTCCCTCATGGAGTTTCCTATCTAGTAGAGAAAACAGACAACTATCTTCAAGAAATTCTACTGCGGTCAGTACCATAACAACTTTATAGGGTAAGAATAGTAAATACCAATGGAACTTAAACTGGCTACCTAGGGAAAGAGGCATAAAATAAATCCACAAGAGACTTCTGGGTCAGGTCCAGCTGCATCATCCACACCTAGCCTTTCTTTCTTGCAGTGTCTTGTCCCTAAGATTTCCATTTTCTTCAAGAAATTGGGAAAACAATAAAAGAAAAAAAAAAACAATTTATGGATATGGGAGAATTACTGTGCCCTGTTCTTAAGGGAGAAAGGATGACTGGGGTAAGAGGCAGTGGGAATGGATGACTCTTAACTGTATATTGATTTGCAAATTAAGGTGCAGGGTCTGATGAAGTCCCGAGGAAATCTTGGATAGGAGTACCCTGAAATATATGGAACAAGTGTATCTCCCTGAGAGACCAGCTTTCCAGCCTCTTTTTTGGTCTATCCCTAACAGGTCCTGCAGACCCTTCTTTTAGAGCATGAAGACTTTTTTTTTTTTTTTTTTTTTTTTTTTTAGTGCACTGTTACATTTTGCCACAATTCCTCTGCCTTTGGTATCACAGAGAAAGAGCTAGCATCAAGGGGAACAGCAGCTCTGCTTGGAGACAGGTACTGTGCTTGGCACTCCATCTGTATTGCCTCATTCAAGCCTTGCACCAAAACTGTAATTGTGAGCAGTCCACGCTGGAGGCCAATAGCTGGACTTCCAAAGATGGACCAACCTGAGCACATTACCTAATTTTTCTGAGATGCAGTTGATGAACCTCTAAAGTGGGAATATTATAACTTACTCTATAGCTTGTTGTGGGATTAAAATGGTCATGTATGAATTATATGTTTGATAATGTATGGAAGGAAAACCACTTTGGGCACAGTGCCAACTACATAATAGATATCAAGTAAATGGTGGCTTGAAAAATAGCTTGGCATTATTCCAATTTTATAGGTGCCGAATCTGGGACTCAGAAGTTAATTAATCTGCTCAGTGTTGCACAGCTAATATATAGCAGCCCTTGGAGCTCAATATACATCACTTCTGTTTGTATGCTCTAACAAATGTATTTTGGGGGGACATTTATAGAAGTAAAGCATACTCATTGTAGAATTAGGAAAATACAACACAATATCAAAAAGAAAAACAAATCACCATAGTCTCACTGTATAACAGACACTTTAGTGTATTTTCATGTCTCTTTTCTGCATTTTTTATGTAACACAATTAGTTAAATATTGCACATATAATTTTGTATCCTACTTATTCACTTAGCTTTACATTGTAAGCATTTTTCTTTTTCATTAAAACATCCTTGAATCTTTGATGGCTGTATAATATTCAGCTGTTTGGATGCACCATAATTTGTTGAACTATTCTAGCATAGCATTTTTATACTGTTTGCACGTTTTTGCCATTAAAATTAATGTTTGTAATAAATCTTTGCTTCTCTGAGGTTTTCTTTAAAAAATATTTTATCATGGAAAATTTCAAACATATATCAAAGTAGAAATATATCAAAATAGAATAGAATAAAAGAAGCTCCATGTACCCTTACCCAGCTTCAGAAAATTTTGCTCTTGTCTAATCTTATTTTCTGCTCCCCATTTGTTTCAAATTCTAGGTATTCTCTCTCCTTCC